AATAAAAAATATAGATTTTCAATTTCTTCCCGAAATATACATGAAATATAAACAAAAATCGCCGGAAATCAATTTTACATTTGAATATTTGGTCACATTTATGATACCCCCTTTATCAGATGCATATTGTTAAGTGTCCTTGCAAGGGGACAAGTGAAGTAATGGAGGTTCAAGATATAAAATGCTCCTTTAAACTGATATATCATGCCAGTCAATGTTTAATACGCTGTGGCATATTCTCCGAAGTATTTAAGGTGCAAAAACGAATTATACTGCATTACAACTTTTTAATTTATCGTACGTGGCCAGAACAACAGCAGGAGTCCTGTTTATTCATATTAACATTGCGCATAAATTTAAGCAAATGAATTCACGCGTTCATGCCGTTAGAACAAATGTCGTCCTCCTCTTAAAAACACTGATGTGGCTCAAATCTTGCTCAGGCATCTGCAAGTTTGGGAACCAGTAGCGTCCTTCTACTCGACCTCGCATGATTCGTCATGCTCCCTGACCATTTGTTATTTCCGTATACACATCTCAACATTTACGTCCGAACGAATAGTATATTTTGAAATAAGTAGAGTTAAAATGCAATAAAGATTTAGAAACTTTATGAAAATGTAAGATAGCTTTGAATGGCTGCCAGTCCCAATGACACATTACTTCATAAACACACTCCTGTAATATCTAGAAAGACGAGCAGATATCACTGGGGGCAAAACGTTTGCAGATGCACGATACTGTTTCCCGGCAAATAATTAATTTTTGAAAAGGGTCTTCTGTAATCTGCTCTCATTATCACCTTTGACTGATTCTTATACAACCCCAAACCTTGTTTTGTTTACATGTTTAAGTATTTTTGCTTAATCCTTTGCTATTTTACCCAGTTGTTTTTCATATGCATCCTCTCCGCGTATATTATGAGTCGACCATTTTGACGCTCAAGTTTGCGCAACAATATTTGTAAAATAAGGCATAAGCAGCCCTTTTTTTATTCATTTTATTCGATCAGATGGACTTAATTTAATCCCCTCTGAGTGGCTGATCACACACAAAAATACAATCTTCCACAATAATGCACTTGCTTTCTTGGCTTAGCCTCAATCAGATGTAATGAAACCATGTATTGTTTTTTAAGAAGCAAATGTTCAAAGATCGAAAAACTACGGAGTATCAACTAAGAAATCATTTTAAAATGTAAAAATACTAAGCAGCCTGACACTGACTTTGTTGTCTGTCCTCCAGTTGCGGTAACGGACGGCGTGTGTTACGGACAAATACCGGTCAATAGTAATCATAAACACTGTCACCTGACTGACAAAGCATAGCGTAAAATCCATCGCCATCCAGCATTCGCAGACGATATTTCCCAGAGGCCAGTATCCCAGCATGAGGTAAAGCATAAAAAAATTCATCGATATCAGTCCAATTAGAATGTCAGTGATGGCAAGCGATATGATGAAATAATTGTTGGATGAACGCACTCCTCTGTCCAAACCAAAGGCTACTAATACGAGCAAGTTGCCGAGAATGCATGCGATTGAAACAGCGGTAGACAGAATGGAATAAATTACTGTCTCAGACAGAGAATACATCCGGATTTTGCGTCCGTCTAAAAGGCGAAACGGTAAATGGTAAAGTATTTCGCCAAGGTGGACTATCGTATTCAAGCAAGATGCAGAGCCAATTTGCCTGTTGTTTCAAAAAATCGCGTAAGTTAAGAACGTCTTATTTTTTAAATCCTAGATTAAAAAATCACGTACTACCGTCTTATTGCAAAAATAAAAAATAGCTACATGTTTATAAATTTGTTAACATAGTTCCCACTTTCGAAAATTGACTGTCGTATTACTCCGAATTCTCCTAGACCTGCAGCTAACATGACCAAAAAGGCAGTGGTCTTACTCAAAAGGAAATACAAACCATTCCTATAACATAACCTGCTTGCCGCTATTCTATCCATAATGCGCGAAAGTCAGTACACGCTAATGATACACGACTTACGGTTAAACAAACAATTCAGATCTTCCCATAAGGTTTCTGCTCACCACAAAATTCTCAAGACTTCCTGCTGCAATCGTTTCATATGCTTTTTCGTTTGTTACTTCTATCCAAATATAATAAACTCACTAATTTAATGGCATATTCTTTCAAATGCAACTTACTGCAAACCACGGCATAGAAACAGACAGATTGCACATACATGTTCATTGGTCAGTTTCAACTGCAAATAAAACGTTTTGCACAATGACCAATCACGTGCTTCAACAGCAACTAAGTTACGAGTCACTTACGATATTTTGCATCAGAAAAGCACGCTGGATGAGAACCACATTGGAGAGTAGACACTAAACACATTACAATTGTTGTGGAATTCTAAAAATTATTCATCGTTGTTAAGCGAAGCTTAGATGCCGTACGTCGACCTATGTTACTATGTATAACTTCGGGTACAGGAACCTGATATGATGTCCTTCCTCAAGAAAGTTTAAGAAACTTTTGTTTACGTCAGAATAGCCTGAATGCAACGTTTCCGTAATAAACAGTTGTCGTTAAAATATATGGTGACTTTTCACTTGATGTTCCAAAATTTCGTTACTACGGACATGAAGATATAACTTAGCGTTTTAAATTACTAAGCCCCCTGGTGTTAGTTAAAACGAATGTTGTCAGGAGTTACAATGAAAAACCAAGGACTATTTCATCTCTGCTGATAATGATATCATATAGCTTACGATAGTATTGGGGGCTTTCACCCGATCGTTGCCGAAGACCCTTGCTGACTAAACATAGGCACACAGAGCTGACCCCAGCAGATCTCCCTGAATGCGAACCAGGGCTTGTTCTTGTTGAAAGTCGCTGCCCTTTCTATACAATAGGCATGCAAATCAAATTTTGCGTTTGGCACCAATTATCTATACTTATTTTGCCATTCCTCTATGCATACACAGGCCCCGACTGTAAAACCCTTATTACCACCTTTCCCGTAAGACAGGCACCTTTGGCTGGTCGTGTGTGTTTGGGGACCTTCTCCTGATCGTTGCCGGGTCTCCTTCGGAAAATTGAAAGCTGTAGTTGCGCTCTGTATCTTACGTTTTACTAGCAGAGTCTAAGTTTGGCATTGCATGCACAATAATGTGAACATAAAAAGAACAATAATATATGTTAACTTCATCTGACCAGTTTGTTTATTTTCTCACTTTTTGCCAAAATACAGTGCCTACTGCCATTGCATGTCAGCAGTCCCTGTCATATTGCGGAATCCGTTAGATTTCTTCGGAATTACTTGCTAATCTCCGTTTTATGCCAAAAGTCGATTTAAAAT